GACACTGGTTCAGCAGTTACTTTGATGCCAGAAAGAATGTATGTGAATTTGTTTTCTCACGTGCGCCTTGAGGCGAGTGACATGCGTCTCCGAACGTACACCGGGGCTCTAGCGCCAATCAAGGGTGTAGCGAGCGTTAATGTAAAAAACGGGGAGCTACCAAGCGAAAAGTTACCTTTGATTGTGGTAAAATCCGCGAATGCCCAGCCGTCAGCTCTTCCAAGCAGAGACTGAATCGAGCAGTTAAAAATTAACTGGTCGGGCGTGGGTCGTATCGAGAACGAGACGATGACAGACTCATTGAAAAGGTCGTTCCCTAGCGTCTTTGAAGGTCCAGTGGGGCCGATGAAGGGTTTTCAGGCAAGGATTGTACTGAAAGAAAACTCTCAACCTGTGTTTTGCAAACACAGAGTGCTGCCATACGCATTCAGAGGGCAAGTAGAGAGTGAGCTTGAGAAAATGGTGGCGCAGGGCATTCTGAGGCCTGTAAAAAGTAGTGAATGGGCAACATCCCTTGTTGTGGTTCTCAAGCCAGGGGGTAAAGTTCGCATCTGTGTTGACTAGAGTGTGTCCGTAAACCCACAGGTGACGGTGGTTCACTACCCGTTACCGAGGGCAGATGAGGTGTTCAACAACTTTCGGGGGTGTGGCATCTTTGCTATTTTGGACCTAAAGACTGCATACTTGCAGCTAGCCCTTGACGAAGCGTCGCGGAAACTGCTCACAGTGACCACTGACCTAGGATTGTTTGAGTTTTTACGTATGTCTTACGGAGTCTCGAGCGCACCCGCAATTTTCCAGAGTGTAATGGATAAGATTTTGTTGGGTCTAACCAAGGTAGCGTGTTATCTTGATGATGTCCTGGTGGGTGGCGTAGTCCAAAATGACTGCAACCAGAGAGTCTTGGAAGTGTTGAAATGTTTTCAGGAACATGGACTTAGTGTGAATCAGGACAAGTGTCAATTTTTTGTGCGCGAAGTGCGTTACTTGGGATACTTGTTGAGTGACCAGGGTATGAGGCCATGCCCTGAGAAGGTAGAGGCTATCAAAAAGGCACCCGCACCGAGTAACGTGACGGAGGTTAAAGCATTTGTGGGGCTGCTATCATTTTATGATTGTTTCCTCCCAGACTTAGCTGCCACACTGGGCCCTTTGTAGGAACTCTTAAAGAAAGACAAGAAGTGGCATTGGTCGGAAGAATGCCAACAGGCTGTAGACAGAAGCAAAGATCAGTTGTGCTGTGCTGGAGTAATTGTCCTCTACGACCCTAGTCTACCATTTCGAGTGACGGCCGACGCATCCAGCTACGGCCTCGGAGCAGTCTTAACACAAGACATGGGAAACGGGGACTACAGGCCAGTGGAGTTTGCGTCTAGGACGCTTACTGTGGCTGAAAAGAACTGCGCACAAGTGGAAAGAGAAGCCTTCCCTATTGAAAATTCCGGCAAAAACGTCCAGTGACATTCGGTGGAAACGGGCTAATTTCCACTCATTTTCACCAGAAACCAGCGTAGTTTACCAGTTTTTTGGTTGAAACATTACCGGCCGCCACTTCCAGTGACCAGATTTCGCTGGACCTTTTACCGGAGCCACCTACGGTTAAACTCTGGCAAAAACTTCCAGTAACATTCGGCGGGAACGGGTTAATTTCCACTCATTTTCATCAGAAACCAGCATAGCCACTTTCGCTGGAAGCTTACCAGAACCACTTTCGATTACCCGCCGCTGGAATCCTACCGGAAGCCACTCTCGTTTGCCGGACACCGAACATCACTGGAAGCCGACGCAAGGGGAACCGCTAAAATCAAAAAGGCCAAGACGAGCAAGGGGACAGAGTTTGTAATGGCGGCCGCCAAGGCAGCGGCATTCTCGTGAGTGCGTGTTTTAGCTCGAAACGACGTTGCAATTCTACAAGAAGTGCGTCCAGCGAACTGTTTTGACGATCTAAAAAGGTGGGCAGCGATCACCGGCAACTTGATATTTGCGACAGGCAAAAGCCTGGGCCGGAGGAGGTACGAGACCACTCGAGCGGCATTCTCGTGAGTGCGAGTTTTAGCTTGGGACGACGTTGCAATCCTCCAGAAGTACGTGCAGTGAACTGTTTTGACGATTCAAAAAGGAGGGCACTTTCACCCGTTTTCATCCGAAACCAATTTACCATGTCTTTGGTAGATTATTTGCCGGCAAACAGATTTCGCTGGGATGTCCCAGGCAGCCACTTTCATATACCAGACGACCCGGATTTCCTAGAAACTTACCCTACACACGAGGCTGCGTCGCCTCCGAAACGGAGAGAACGGCGAGAGAAGGACTGGCGCGGAGGCGGCCAGAAGGCAGCGGCGGCTGCCTCCTCTCCGTGCTACGTGCACGTGACGTCCGAGACTCCTTGCCTGCGCCGACCCGCCGATCAAAAGAAAAAAAAAATTTCGTTGCGCACACACAATTGGCGTTCTCCCCCTCCCCCCCCCCCCCCCCCCCCCGTCTTTTAGAACACACACACACGCACGCACGTCTGTCTCGGCAGTCTCCGTCGGACGTGTTTGTTTTCAGCTTTGGGGGTACTGGCGGTCGCGATTCCTTGTGGTGTTGTTAAGCCTCGGCTAAAGTTTGTTTCGCCGGACATCGGTGGTGTGGCGCCGGACCCAGAGCTGCGACTTGAAGATGGCGTGTGCGCGCGGCAAATACCGTGCCAAAACAAGAGTGAGATCCTGCGGGAAGTGGACGCCGGACTCTTGTCTATGCAAGAAATTGCGAAGAAGCGTGCAATACCGAAAAGCACGCTATGGCGGCAGAAGTTGCCAACGAAAGCAAGAGGATGCGGCCCGCAAAGTATACCGACCTCGAGAAAGCGCTTCTGCTTTGGATTGGGTCCATATCACACGAGCGAATGACATTTTAGCGAACGGCGACATTTGAGCGAATGGTCGTTTTAGCGAATAACGGGGGCGCGCGTTAACCCATCCGTCGCGCTGCGCTTTACGCCGCTTCGCGGCGACAGTCTACGGCAACTCATTACAAAAATATGAACTCACTTGGCCCACCCGAAAACGCCGCTTCGCGGCGTCCGTCTATTCGCTAAAGTGTCGTTCGATGAAACGTGGGCGTTCGCTAAAACGTCATTCGATCAAGTGAGTGCCTCCCGTCGGGAGAAGGGAAGGCCGTTACTTCACTTTCGTTTGTTCGAACTTTCGTTAATTCGAACTGAGGCGGCATCCCCTTGCGGTTCGCATTAACGAGCTTTTACTGCATGTGGGGGGCCTATATCTTCCAAAGCAGCTGGGTGTGCAGATGGAAAGAATATATTTTTCAGTGACCTGTTTCTTACGCCTCTGTCCGTCCGCCTTCAGAAGCAGCCAGCGAGCGAAAAAGACTGCGCACAAGATTTCTCAGCGTCGGCGGATGTTCGTTTCGCGCATTCGTGGTTTTCGCGAAGCGTGCGACTGACGCCTGGTGCACCCGCGGCGACGGCATCAGGGACGACATCGTGAGTGTGCCGGGATTTCTCTACGGCGGCGGATGTTCGCTCCGCGCGGTCGTGGTTCGCTAAGCGTGCTACTGACGCCTGGTGCACCCGCGGCGACGGCATCAGGGACGACATCGTGAGTGTGCCCGGGATTTCTCTACGGCGGCGGATGTTCGTTCCGCGTGGTCGTGGTTTTCGCTAAGCGTGCTACTGACGCCTGGAGCACCCGCGGCGACGGCATCAGGGACGGCATCATGAGTGTGCCCGGGATTTCTCAACGGCGGCGGATGCTCGCTCCACGCGTTCGTGGTTTTCGCTAAATGTGCTGCTGACAGTATACGTGTGTGTGTCCGTGTGGTGCACCTGCGCGGTTTTATTAGTTGAACTACCGTGCGTCTAGGAATTTACCCAGCAGCATTGTGAGTACCTTGAAAGATATCTTTTGCGGCAAAGGACTTGGTTGTTCCTATTTGGTCTGATTCTATATGGTTGTTATATAATTATATAATTGTTATATAATTGTTAGCGAATCGTCCAGCATCTGGTAAACATACACCAACCACGGTTCACCGGCTTCCTCCTAAGTGCCTTCCGTTGACGTCCGAAAAAAGAAAAAAAAACACGGTAAATTCCGGGCAATCTGGTGATCTTCTGCTAAATTGTGGCTTTACTGGAAGTGAAAACAGTCCCATAATCCAGTAAAATAGACTTTTACTGGAAATGACATGCGGGTAAAAAATATTTTTCAATAGGGTTGGCACTCATATTTGCAGTCAAGAAATTCCACCGGTATTTCTTTGGGCGTTCGTTCACCCTGGTAACCGACCACTACCCGCTAACGTCGATCCTGGGACCTAGGTATTCTACCAAAGCCATAGCTGCTGCGAGGATTCAGAGGTGGCGCTTGTTACTTGCAGAGTACAACTTCAGGTTCCTGTACCGCAAGGGCGGGGAGCTTGGGGATGGTGATGCCCTATCGAGACTTCCTCTGAAGACAACTGTAGGAGAGGAAAGTGTGTTGAAATATTTTTCACCCACAAAGCATCCGATTATTTTAAGTTCCGATGTGGGGAAAGAGACCTTCAACGACCCCTTGCTGCAACGTGTCCTTGAACACACCAAGAGAGGTTGGCCAACATCCGTGAAAGATCCAGGGTTGCAACCCTTCTGGCACAGGCGGGAGACGCTGTCAACGGACCAAGATTGCCTACTGTGGGGGATTAGAGTCGTGAATCCACAGGCACTACAGGCTGTGGTCCTCAAGAGCCTGCATGAAGAACATCCAGGAATGGCGCGTATAAAACAACTTGCGAGAGAGCATGTGTGGTGACCCGGAATCGACGCCATGATCGAGAACAAGGTGCAGTCATGCGAGATCTGCCAAGCGGTCCAAAGCGACGTTCTTCTAGTACCACTCCAGCCATGGAAGATGACCTCGCGGGTCTTTGAACGTGTTCATTTGGACTTTGCAGCCAAGTCGGGAACCAACCTGTTTGTTTAGGTTGACAGTTTTTCTAAATGGGTTGAGGTCCTGCCCATGTCTTCCACAACCGCACCCCAGACAGTCGAGAAACTTATGGCTGTCTTCGCACAGTTTGGACTAACCGAAGAAGTGGTGACTGATGGAGGCCCCCAGTTTCGAAGTGAGGAGTTCAAGAACTTCTTGAAGAACCAAGGAGTGGTGCACACCATGACGCCACCCTACCACCCGGCTTCGAATGGCGCCGCGGAGAGGGCTGTGCAAACAGCCAAGCGAGCGCTGCTCAAGCAAGTACTTGAAGACGACCTCCAAGAGAAGAGAAGGAGTATCCAGAAGAAGTTGTCGTGTTTTCTACTTGCCTACCGGACGACACTACACACAAGTACTGGAAAGGCCCCTGCAGAGCTGTTCCTGGGACGGCTTCCGCGAACCCGACTGTCGCAGCTCAAGCCAGGTGCAACGTCCCTTTCACGACGAGAGAAGCAAAACAAGAAAAAGGAGCTGGCTGACAAGCGCAAAGGTCCAACGAAACTCTTTCAAGTGGGTGACAGAGCTTGGGTCAGAAATGTGAGGGGGAAGTGAGTAAACTGGACTAAAGTAACTTTAAAGAAAGTAATCAGTCCGGTAACATACCTGGTGCGGGTGGCTAACAAGATTCGTTTTGTGCATGCTGATCACTTGCGCTTTCGAAGTGAGGGCTCGTCCCAATCAGCCTCTTCGGAGAGTGGATCGAGTGACAGTGAGAGTGTTGATTAACCGGGCGAATATGAGGTGCCTATGCCACTGAATGCTGACAGTGGCCTAGCTGGTCAGCAAGTTCGACGGTCGAGCAGAGCTCGACGCCCTCCAAATAGACTGGTGTACTAGTGTTCCTTTATGTAAGTGTGGAGGAGTGTTGTGTATGTATAAAGCAATGTAACAGGTTCCTATTCCTATTACCAGGGTGCGCTGGTCTTTGCCCTGTAAATTGTGTCTTCGCCATATTAAATTTGTTCTTTGTGTGCTGTTCCTCTGCGTGGGAGCTTCTGTTCTTTGGCGCTTCGGCGCGACAAAACACCAATCATTTCTCAAAATGGGTGGAGTTGCACCCGTTGAGGAAGCTGGTTTCGAAGCGCATCTGGGAGTAGTTGGAAACTTTCATGCGCTTCGGCACACTCACCTGTCTCATCAGCGATAATGCTAGCTATTTTACCAGCCAAGTGTTCACAAACTCCTGCTCGGCGCTAAGCATAAAGCGCAAAAGGACTACACCATACCATCCTCAGGCTAATATCACTGAGAGAGTGAACCGAAACTTGAAGAGCATGCTGATCACACTAACAGAGAGACACAGGGACTGGGACGAACACACTGTCGAAATGGGTTTTGCAATCCGGACGACCGTGAACATGGCGCGAACCCGTCGGTGAGAGATCCGATAGGGGCTCTGCGCGGCGCTATAATCTGCGGCCTAGAACTTGATCTAATATTTTCAAGATGTTAATCGAGCTTGTTCTGTCTAGAAATCGCCGCCCCGGAAAGTCCAGAATGGGCGGCGCCATCCAGGAGGGCGACATTCCACTTCCCGGGATACCGGCGGAGCCAGCCGGACCAACTCCCAGGGTGATCAACCCATCCGGCAGGAGACCGAGTAGACCAGCCGACGGGGTGGTCAACCCATTCGGCAGGACACGGCCAGACCAGCCGACAAGGTGGTCAATCGGGTTGGCAAGGAACAAGGCGGACTAACCGTCCGGGTGGTCAATTTGGTTGGCAGAGACGGGGTGAGCAATCCCGACGTCGACCACGTCAACGAAGGCAGGGCGGCGTAGACGCGAAGCACCGGGGAAGTCCCTGGGACCAGGCGGCCACACGAGACTCCACCCCACAGAGCGGAGGGGCCCTGCCTGTACCTGGGGACCCTGTTCCGCTGACGCTCCCGACCACACGGTAGCAACCTGGACGACTCAAGAGGGCCAAGAAGCCGTCCACTTTGTGTGGAAGGTGCGCTGGCGGAACAAGCCCAGACCGAACCAGACTCAACCGGACAGTCAAGTCCCGCAGCCTTTCTGGGGCATACGCTGCCCCGTTTTTCGCTACCCGACGAACACCCCGACGGCTGCTGGTTGTACCAGGTTCCGGTGGTCCACCAGGACACGGACAAAGCTAGCCGCCGACACACTGAACACACTGACCTCCTGAAAAACATGGGCCGCCCCACCGGCGTCACAGCGGCAGTACAACTGCTTCGCCGAGATCGGTCAGACCTCCCAGCTCTGGCGGCTCTCGGCTTCAGCCACGTTATGGGAAGCGGGGGTCCTGCCCTTGACCAATTGCTTGTCGACGGAGCCGTCGCCGAAGACCCGGCGCTCGGCCCCTTCCCCGAACACACACACCGGTCCCACCGGTGCCGGCTTCCCGTTCGGCAACTGCGGCCCCATCCGCGTCCATCACCTCCAGCGACGCAGAGATGGGCGAGTTCGAAGAGGGCTTGGCGGACGGTCCAGTGACTACGGATGCTTCGGACCCCCCCGGAGTTAGAGGCTTGAGGGGAGGGGAGTGTGGAGGAGACGGAGAGAGAGTTCCAAGGACGGTGGACGAAGAGAAGAGCCGGTGCCGGGACAGCCATCTCAACAGAAGACCTGAACCACAAGGGAGCCTTGGCCTTCCGCAGCATCCCACGAACCACTTGAGTATTGATAAAGTGTTTCTCCATGATAGCGCTCCCCGTGTGACTTCCTCGGAGCGAGTAGAACTCGGCCTGATCGCGCGATATTGGTAGGCATCCCACAGGGTGCCTTACTATAGAGAGTGCATAGGATGACCTTCCGTCATCAATAGAATAGGACGTCCATAAAAAGTCCGTTGCCCAATATTCTGTAGGGCAGCCAAATAACGACTTCACGAAGGCAACATATTCGTAGTCTGCCGTTAGGTGCCCTATGATGTGCCGATGAACGCTGCTCTATAGAATGTTGTAAGAATGTCCGTACATATTTTTGCAAGGGCGATACTCAAGAGAAGATTTCAATAATGTTCCAACATCCCCGTTCACCGGTTTGGTGCTATCTTCAAGCTTTGTAGCTCAGTGTGGGGACCCTTCATCCGCCCAACTCACTGCGTCCCTCAAGTCAGTCGAGCGTCGTGCCGCCTACGGCATCATAAGGCACCAGCTTGTTTATTTAACACCACCCTATCGAGAGATCCTGGCTGTTGAGCTTTTCGAAAGAGTCAGCTGAAATTCGATTCACCTTCGACGCCATGTTGCTACTGCAAGAATCCTGACCTCTACTTCTGCCCGATTCCACTCTTCCTTTTGCTTTCTCTTTGCAGCGAACCCGTTCGCCCGGTGTCTTACAACCTCTCTTACCCGCACACTTCGCGATGCACAATCTTTTGGCCCCTGTGCAGTGCAACTGTGGAGATCGCTGCCTCCGTCCATCACCACCTCTTCGCAAATGAACCGCGACATCATACGCCCCTTTCCTAAGAGTGTCGCGGCTTATTTGCAAAACAATTGAGTGAGTCTCACGCCTCTGACTTTCAACGTCCCTTGCGTGGTCCGGTGCCTCATCTTCCTTTATACGTAAATATATTCACGATTAGCTTTATGTTCATCTTTTAGAGCGCAGCTCTTAGGCCGCCCCCGTTTCCGGCTTGAGCGGCGTCGGCGTAACCGTGAGGTGACGTGATGTCACAAGGGTCACGTGACCCCCCTGACGTCACCCGTGAAATCACGTGACCCCGGTGACGTCACAGGGTCACGTGACCCCCGCGAAGTTACGTGACCCTGGTGATTCCGGTGACGTCACGTGACCCCCGCGAAGTCACGTGACCCTGGTGATTCCGGTGACGTCACGTGACCCCCGCGAAGTCACATGACCCTGGTGATTCCGGTGACGTCATGTGACCGCATGAAGTCACGTGACCCCCTTTAGGCCACGTGACCCCGTGAAGTCACGTGAGTCCCTTGAGGTCACGCGACGTCACGAGGGTCACGTGACCTCACGGTTACGCCGACGGCGACGGCGATGCCAACGCCGCTCCGAGGGACGAGTAGCAGGCAAGATCAAGAGCTGAGGAGGAGGGAGGAGGGTATACCTATTCCTTAGTACCCTTCCCTCCTCCTCCTCAAGAGCTGCGCTCTAATTCGGCGCTTTGGGGAGTTGTAAACGGCTTTCATTTTTTAGCTTTTTTGCCTCAATGGCACTGAACAACTTTCAAAATGGGCACTACGCTTGCATCGCAGTGCCCCTGCTCAGCTGAGCTCTATATTAAACAGACAAAAAAAAAACTTTGGATTTTGCCTGGTGTTTCCCGCATGCAACAAAGCTATGACTTGCAAGTCTGTCTTACGGTTGTTTTTATTTCAGTTCTGTTCTCTTATTTAATCTTGTTAAACATTAATACCTTAAACATAAATTGTTTAAACATTTTTTTGTTTATCTCGTCAATAAAGGGTTAAATCGTACAGCCAAAGGCCCTCGCTAACTTCCCAACTTCGTTTTCTGTGTTGCATTTATGCTTTCTAGCACTGGTGACATCAGCCAGCCCGACAAGCTTGCAAAAATGAAGCGACCTTTCGTCACTCGCGACGCAAGCCGTGGCTCATATATGTAAACAGTAAAAGGGTATAAATACCTAATTTTTTGTCGACATCGTCCATTGCCCCATCGTGTTGGGATGAAGATAAACATCAATGATTAATATGTGCTGCTACGTTCGTTCCAGGAGAGACAGAACGTCCACACAGGCTTAAGGCGGACGACATCAACTTTACTATCTCAAGACATGACACAAGTATTGTTCTGCACAAGGAGGCTAGGCGTGAAAGAGGCGGTGTCTTTTGCTTGTGGAGACGTTTTTGCCGATATCTTCACTCCCGCATATTCGCGCACACTTCAGTCACCGTTACGTTTCAGTACACCAAAGCTGCAGAAATAGAGCGTCGGATAAGGGGCTGCATGGGTAGACTGGAAAGCTCGCGGCGTGCTAGACGAGGGATCCGGCAAAAGCCTTTTAACTTGAACCCGGAGGAGTACTGGAGACTGTTGTAGATCAATCTGTGACAGTTCCTGCAGCTCCGTCACGCATGGAACCAAGAATTGAGCGAAAAAAGAGTCAAAGCATATTGCATCACCATTTTTGTTCTTCCTCATCGAACGGATGGATGGATGGGTGTTAATGGCTGTACCTGTTGTAACGGACGGTAGCTTGCGCAACCTAGCCTTAGTCTAAGAAGACAAAATATGTGATTCCTTCCGTTCTTTTAAGCCAATTGTTCTTCCTAACTATGACCAGGCAGTGTGGGATATCACCAGGATGACCTTTGGGGTATCGGGCAAAAAAAAAAACTAAAATCATCACCCTCGCTTTTTCGCCCCTGCAATGGAGTCGCCACTTTTCCTCTGGTCAAACATTGTTGGCTTTACCCCAGCAGCGAACTCACTGGGGGACGGGGATGAGACTTTGGGCCCGAGCCACGCGAGAGGAAGTCCCAATTTTCTCTGCTTCGCCTGTCCCCAGCTGGCTAATTAGTTGAGCATAATTCATTTTTTTCGAAATAATTTACACCAATTTTCTAATCGCCTCTTTGTGACTGT